AAAAAAAAAAAAAAAACAACTTAAATACACAAATTATTCAATATTCACACTTTTGCAACTGTTTTATGATAAAAGAATATAAGAAAAGGAAAAACAACATTGTTAATTTATTAATTAATTAATTAACAGTAATAATTGAATAATTAGTCAATTAAAAAAAAAAGCAGTGTTGAAGAGTAAATCAACGTCGGGACTTCGGGTATGTGGAACACAAAATGTACCTTTCATGTTCTTTGCGGATTTTAATAAAGCAAAACAACATTGTTAATTAATTAATTAATTAATTAATCAATTAGCAGTAATAATTGAATAATTAGTCATATAAAAAAAAAACTGAGTAAGCACTTTTACAACGGATATCCAACCATCCGACCGTTACGTGCGGGGGCGCGGATTTAGGATCCGCCACGTGCCCATAAATGGGTCGGCACGTGACAGCACAGCTCAATCCTTGTACCAACCCACCGACCCCCACTGAATGAGAGGCATGATGATATATGTGCCTTAATTTAAAGGTGTGAATTTATTTTTTTAATTATTTTATTTATATTATCATAATTAAATTTTTAACATTTCCTCGTATCTCAATATAGTAAAATACTATATCTGTATAAAATACTGAAAAATAGCAATAATATTTCTTTTATTTTACCGAACTTCTTGTAAATCTTAGGTATATAGTTGGAATTTGGGATATGATTTTCATATGTGTATCATATTTTTTAAGTCGTAATAAGTTTTTAAAAGATTCACATAAATTTTTAGATGAATAAATTAAAAACTTCATATAATGTTGGCGTCATAGTAAAACTGTTCAAACGTAAATTGATATATACTTTGTGATTATTTATGACTCACCATTATTACTATTCTAAACAACATGGAAATTATAAGATGCCTATTTATCCCTAAAAAAAATTAACTAAACATCTATTTTTAAAATAACTCTAAAAGAAATCACAAGTAGCATAAAATAAGAAAGTCAATTATATTGGGAGATTTTCATTTTGATACCGTTAAAAATAATTAAACCGTCTTGTTTCATAATTCATTAACTTCGATCGGAGTTGATGATATGGCAGAAAATAGAGTCAGCGCCTTGGAAATTTATTGTTCAAGTTGATGATAATCCTATGTTAACTAAAATAATGATCAATGCCGCTGGTTGGGGACTAAACAACGTGAGAGAATACCATGTGGTAATACGTGGAACAAAGTGTGATTCATAATAATGGATTTGATAAAACTGACACAAAATATTTTGAAGTTGAATGCCGTGCAGAATTTCCAGGCCAATAAAGGATGATATAGGGTCTTAATGAAGTACATTAAGAGCTGGTTAGTCAGCTAGGAAATTCAAACCATACTAGTAGAATTGGACCATTTCTCGATTTATGCGTGTCATCTTTGCGCAGAGATCATGCTAATATTTACTGAATCGTTCCAATTTTATCGGGGTCCATTTGGATAAACAAATATTTGGTGGTAAATTAAGAATGGAATTGCGGATAAGTTGTCTGGCCAACAAGTTCATTCTAAGTGATTAGAACTTTTGGAAAAATCCATTGCTCAAGTATACTTAAGAAAATGATTTTTACATAAATGCTCCAAAACAAGCACATTATCATTAGGTGGGGGATCCCACCTAGATCAGGGCTCGTTTCGACTACCGAGTGTGTGTTTATTTAACGGTAAAAATCTAATAATTACAATGCAATTACCGGTATGGTTTCTGTAACCACATTCTAAGTACTTTGCTATTCATTACGGAAATTGAAGGGGAGAAAAAAACTTTTTTTTTTCTTTTTTTCTTT